AATTCCAGCACATAGGAGGTAGAGACAAGAGTCAGAAATCAGCTCAGGATACATGATACCCCTTCTCAAAAGCAAAACAAGACCACCACTACCAAAAACCTCTAAAAGGTGTATGTAACTAGGGAGTGGAAGAATTAGTAAACACATCATGAGTTATCATATTACATTCTCTTTTTCAGTTTTTAAAAACAAAATTTTTATTGATTCCTTGGAAATTTCATACAGTGGATGCATTTTGATCATATTCACCCCTCCCTCATCTCCTCTTATAGCCACCTCCGTCTATGTAGTTCAGGTTGGTCTTAAACTCCATGTATTCCAGACAGGCTTCAAACTTGTGATTCTCCTGTTTCTGCCTTCCAAGTCTTTGAGATTATAGAGTTTTTCAAACCTTTCAAAAAATTAAGCTTAAATTTTATTTTGTGTATGAGTGTTTTTCCTGCATAAATGTCTGTGCACCATATGCCTATAGTCCTCGTAGAGGTCATAAGAGGGCATTGGCTCCCCTGGAACAGGAGTTACAGAAGCTTGTTAGCCACCATGTGCGTTCTTGAAACCAAACCTGGATCCTCTGTAAGAACAGTCTGTGTTCTTATTTACAGAGCATCCCTCTCAACCCTCCTGGAAGGAATTTTAATCTCATCTTTTTTTTTTTTCCTTTTCTTTCTTATTTCTTTCTGACTCTGAATTGAGAATGCTAAAACGCTTAATGCTTGCTTAAGGAAGGAGATGAAACTTCCTTAAGGCAGATGAAAAATTCTTATTGAGAGGATGCCATTTGAAGAATGGATTTGGAAAAAATAAACTGGTTATTCTAGGCAGAAAAAAAATTGTGATCAAAGGTAGGAAAGAATCAAGTACAGTGTTAGGTCAGGGATTAAAACTCAGACATCATGTGGGCTAGGCAGGTAACTCTGGTGACACCTACAGTAACAGGTGGCACCTTTGTATGAGTAAGTTGAAAAGAATTGTCAATATTTTTAACATACTACATATTTCTGAATATTCAGAATTAAAATTTTACAAGGGAAGCGATGAGCAAATACTGAGTAAGTGCTGTTTTATTAGATCGGTGATTGTCTGCATGACTTCCAAGGCAAAGAAGCTCATTTTCCTTCCTGAAGACATGTAGCCTTCATCTTGGCGTGTTTGTTTTTGTTTATACTAAATCTAGTAACTTCCTACTTTTGAATATCAATGGGTATTTAATACTTTCATTTAGTGTATGCCTGCGGATGAGAACCAACCCTGGGGTTCCTTCTGTTCTGTTTTATTCTTAGTTTTTTTTTTTTTTTTTTTTTTTTAAATATCCTTCCCCACCCATTTACAACTCCTTGGAGCAGTCCTTTCCAGACGTTTTTCTCCCTTGGAGCAATACAATAGCATATATATTTCCAACTGACCGTTTGATGTCATGTTTTAGGATACTAGAAGTTGAGCTTTTATCAAATGCCTGTACTGTAGTTTGCTTCATGACAGGGTTCTCTACTTCAGTTGAAGGCTCCAGCTCGCTCAATCTCATTTTTCTTCATCATTTTAACATTAACAGTACACTCATTGGTCACACCTTTCTCAGATACATTTTCTTATGCTTACTCCATACCTGTCATGGTGGTATCAAGAGAACTCCACTGCTCATCAGCTTTGTCACTTTCAGCAGGACCCAGGAAATGCATATTGAGCAAGCATTAAAAAGCGTGGTAAAGGAGTGCATGTGAAGCCATCAATCATTTGCTGCACCCACTCCTGTCATTTTTAGCACTTTCTGCTCTGCCTAAGAACAGTGTACCGATGGGGTGGACAACTAAAAGACTGATGAAATGGTTGATTTGTTTGGCTGCTAAATGCAGATGGGACAGGTAATTAAACAGCTATGCTCCTGCAGAGAAGACTGCAGCAATGGAACAGACATTCCAGAAACCCAGCTGCATTCCATTTAGATTCAGAGCTAATATTAGGTGGGCTTCCCCCAGACTGACAGATTTTGTAAACATCATTTCTGGCTCATCGTGATTGAAGATGAAGTATGTATTTTGTTTGCAGATTAAGTTTTCTAGAGAGAATATAGCATTTACCTGAAAAAATAGCCTGTATGTGGAGAGTCAGAGATGACATGAGTGAGTCTGCCCTGATCTCTACTGTTCCTGTCTTCAGTGTCCCATGGAGGTGGGGGCTGGAATCCACCAGTTGAGTAGATCAGTAATTAGAGGGGGCTAGAAGGGAGATTAGTGACACCGCCCTTGTTTTTATCTTTTATATCCTTTTACCTTTTATGGGGTATGTAGGGAAAGTCTTTGCGTTTGAACAGCAATTTTTTCCATATATGTAATATAATTTGGGTAGTTATTTCCATATAGAAACAATCATACCATCTACTCATTGTTCACATACAAGATTTCACAGTTAACTCTTTTGTTCCCTGTCTACATGAGCTCTCAGTAGCAGACTGTTCATAGAGCTAACTCATTTCATCTCTCAAGCATCACCCCATGGTTTCATTCTCTCTGAGACTATTTGGCCAATTTTACAAACCGACCTTCTCCAGTTGTGTTTCTATGTTAAGACCCAGAGCATCTTGACTGTACTTCCTGGGATTAGGACATAATTGCTTATCACTAACAATCATAGTTTGTTTCATTCTTCGCATCTTTACTGTATAGGCTTGTTCGAATCATACTAACTGTTGACTTGTTGACTGTTCACTTAGACATTGCTTTCTTTCTGCTACAGTGGATGTTGGTTCTGAAGGCCAAGGCTGTTCTCTTTCATCCACCTTGCATATCTTGTTACTCAATGTCTTACATGCACTATGCAGCCTGAACCTAGATCTATGGTGGATCAGAGATGTAACAGTTTCTAGCCCCCAGGAAGAGAATGAGAACATGCTTGTTTGCAGCATTTACTGGTATCTGTGGCATATATACTCTGTCCTGACTAGCTCTAAGCTGCTAAAGTAGTATCATTGATGACTAAATTGGAAAGCATCTCACAAGTTTTACTTTATTTTCACACACAGGCTCCTTTGCATGCCCAGGACCTGTCCCAGCTGTATTTGGCAACCAAACAAATTAACCATTTCATTTTCTATTTTGCCTCAGTTGTCCACCTGATTAGCATTCTTTGAGGTGTTGAAATATTTATGTCTTACAGATATACATCACTTCAGGGAGATAAAATAATAAAATATAATAAATAATTAGAAAGATGACTTTGAGTACTTATTACATTTATTTTTAATATGATTTAATTGCAATCTTCTACAACTTAATTTCAAAGCCACATTTGACAACTTGCTTTCAGAATTTCTGGAAATTGAACAATCTGTTTTTATAATGCTGTGCAAGATAGCTCCAGCACCCTGTAAGAGATGGTCTGTAAGAGACACAATTCTGTATCATGGGTGTGGCTCACAAAGGAAAGGAAGGCAGGGCCTACAGATGGTTGGAAAACTTATTACAGAAACATTTACCTGAGGGTCTTGGCTCAACTCTGCTGAATGAACTACTGAGGAAGTGACCCATCTTCTACCTTAGTAGATGTAATTTGATAGTGACTACTCAAGAGAGTGGTGTGTCAGCAATGAAAAAAATAAATCATCAGGAGGTAGAGTAATGAAAACAACCCAACTCTTCACAGAGGGTGCTAGAAGAGCCTAGAGTTCTTGGTGTTTAAGAGTAATTCTTCAGAAAGCTAGCCTGGGGCCAAAAGTCCCCCTTGCAAGGCCCATTGTAAACTCTTAGCAGAACTACTTGCCACTTCACATCTGTCTGCATGACTGTCATTGGATGGAAGTGGGCCCCAGGTAGAGACTGGAACAAGCCCTATGCAACTCTGGGTGCTAGGAATAGATGAGTAAAGGCAAGCAGCAGTTCATGGATAAAGGGAACATGGACAATACAGAAAAGCCGCACTGGACATGCACTACTACCTGCAGAGGATTTTCTCCCTATTTAGAGTAATTTGAGGTGGTCCTGGTATATAGATAAGGAGACTTTTGATACATCAAATGTAAAACATCATATAGTGTTTACCACACTTGAATTTAGGCAGCTATGGTGAAAGCTGGCTTGGTGAATGTCCCAAAGTTTTATAGCTGACAAAGATGAATGCAGCTAAGATATTCATCTTTCTGACATGAAGTCTTTCAACAATAACTCATAAAAAAAATGTGTTCAAAATTGACTTATGCTATTGCTCATAAGAGTCCTTCAAAACAAACAGTGTCTGTTAGAAACTAGTTCACATAGCATCCAGTGCATCATCTTCAGACCCTGGCACTGTTATGGGTAGTCAGGAGAACAGGATTGCATTCGGGTGTGCTAGTGCCCACCTGTAGCAATTGAGAGGTAAGGCCAGAGATTGTGAATTGAAGCTATCTTATGCTGCACAGGACCCTGTCTTTAAAAAACAAGGTCTGGAGCTACAGCTCAGTGGTAAGCACTTGCCTACCATTCCCAAAGCTCTGAGTTTGACCTTCACCCCAGGAAGTAAAAAGAAAATTATGAGTAATGTGTTTGAGCTGTGATCAAGATGTATTCAAATTTGTTCTGACCTCATTTAGATGTTCACTAACTCAGGGCATTCCTGGAAGTTTCGTTATTTTGGTAGTAAAATGTAAGAGGAGGTTAATTAAGTAAGAAAGGGAAGTTGAGATATTTTGGGATAGAGAACACTATAGAACAATGACATACAGCTTGTATGCTGTGTAGTACAAGCAGGGTGGGGAATCTGGAGCTGGGACTTAAAGGCAGGCTCTTGTTTGTTTGTTTGTTTGTTTTTTCTCTGTTCTCAGAAACTGAAAAGAAGCCACAGCAGAATAGGAAGAGCAATGATTTCATAGCTTTACTTTCTGCCTTCCCCCCTGTATTGTCTTTTGGGACTGTAGTTATTACTTCAAGGTGGAGCTTCAATGTCTAAATGATACCTAGTGGGGGGGTAGATTAACAGCTGTCCTTCCTGTACCCATTGTGTTTGATGTCCTTGCTCTGTGTCCCCTGCAGCTGCTGCCTATCCACACTCTGAGACTTGGTGTAGAAGTGGATTCCTTTGATGGGCACCATTATATCTCTTCAGTTGCTCCTGGTGGTCCTGTGGATACTCTGAACCTCCTACAGCCAGAAGATGAACTTCTTGAGGTAAAACATAAAGGGAAAGAAAAATACATGGCAAGAAATTAAGTTCTAGGGAAATGTGTTCACCAATTATCACTGCCATCAATGCTAATATAATGTGAACGGTATGGCTACAGCAGAGCATCTTCAGGGTTTTCCAGATCTGATCAATATTTGGATTTTATAGTTGTCAATACTGAGTATGTTGTTTTGGCTAAACACATAGTATAAAATGACAGATGTTTAGGACTGTTTCAGAAATTGTTAAACATTCTGTCCTCTTCCTAGCCAAAATTTAACAAGTTTTTAGTGCTCAAGTCAACAGTCCAAACAGTAATTTTAAGAATAAAACATTTTAATGTAATGTGATGTCAGTATGTACTAATTTGACATTTACTGACTAAAGAATCATAGCAGGAAAATAATTAAGCTACTACATTTTAGACCTGTTACCTCCAGTCCCCATTTTAGGTGGTGCTGGGGACTGAAATAGGGGCTTCTATTATGTTCAACCTACTGAGCTATAGCCACAACCAAAACTTTACATTTCTATAATTAAAAACACTGTGATAAGAGCCTAGTTTTCATTCTGAACCACTGTTTTAGGCAGTGGTTGGTAGTATCGTGTGTCATGGTGGCATGCATGGTTCAGTGTATGTTGTGTGTTCACAACCAAGGCTGCAGTGAGCTCATGTAATACAGGATGGGAAAATACTGCCTCTACATTGAAAAACAAAGTGCTATAAAAGGAGTGTAAAGATTTTGGGGGTGGGGGTGTGTGGTGACTTTTTTATATTAACACAAAGTTACACAATTTCATAAACATGTTCTATTTTCTATTTTCTTGTTTTCATTCTTTTTTTAAAACCTGCTCTTGTGTATGGGAGGCAAGTGTTCTGCTCTGAGTGTTACTCGTGGTCTCAATAGTTTGACATCTAAAGTGTAGATTTCTAGTAAAAAAAAAAAAAAAAAACAAGAAAGAAAAAAAAAGTTTTGATATAGAAAGAAGCCTAGATTGAAGGGCAGAGAAATGCCTTGGGTTCTGGATTTGCCTCAGCCCTACATGTGCCCTGGCCATGGCATCTATGATACTGATTTCTTCATCTTCCTCTACTGTATGGTTGTGAGGGTCTAAAAAGCTGCCATCCATGTGATCTGTGACACTTCTGTTACAAGGAGGATTGGCTGTAATCAATTTGGCAGACATGTTAACGAGCTCATGTGTAAAGTCAGTGCTCTGGAAGCCTCTACTCATTTGTGCATTTCTAATCAACAAATCTACAGAATTAGGATTAGATGGTATTTAAAAGACAGTCTCACGTCGAAGGACTGTGAGAAATACTGTGAATTCTAAAATAAAATAGGTCTCTGAGTAAGTGAATGTAGAAATAGAAATCTTTGAAGTTTGCCACATAAAAAACTTTTCGTTGGTTTTTTCCTATTGCCTCTCCCTCTCTACCCGTCTCCTGCTTTTTTCTTCTGTCTCTCCTCATTTTTGTTCCTCCCACCCCCTATTTGTTTAATGTACTTCTTAGAGATTAAAACCAGAAACACAAATATGCTTTGGGGTTAGAGGACCATGCCAAGTCTCAGCCCAGAACAGCTATTTACAGCAACCATAAATCCCCTTAGCTAGGAGTTGGTAATGGGAAATGTGACCAATCTTTTTAGCAGTAGGTAGTGAAGAGGACTACCAGGCACTGCCATAATAAGTGGAGACAATTCAAATGAATAAGTAATGAACCAAATAAATATTTAAAGGTACTCTAAGATAGAAACCTGAAAAGTGACTTTCTAATTTGTTGAAGCACAAACTACTAATTGTATATAGGTAGAGTTTCTGTTTCCATTGTACTCCTTTTGTATTTGATAGAGGTTACTGTCCACTTGATGCTAAAACTTTCTGTGAGATATGATGTGAGCAGTGGTAGCTCCCTGCCCCTTCTGTGTACAGGTTGAATTGAATTCTTCAAGGAAGCTTGCTCCTGGGCTTTCCCCACACTCCGTAGTCATGATTACTTGAGAGAAGTGGAGAGAGGGGAACAGACTGAGATTCTCTGTGGTGGTTTTGTTGTTACTGTTTTTAGCATTTGTCTGAATAATTAAGGGACAGGATGGTATGTCCTGTTTGAGGGCTCTAAGTGCTGGATGTGTCACAGACTTGAGGGTGGTTCCTAAGGATGGCTGATCCTAGGCACTGTCCACTGCTGATAGGGTGTTTCTCCCACTACAGTGGCTGCTCTGTGGAAAGGGATAGTGTGGACAGTCCTGCCTGCTTTATGAGCATTAGTGCCATGCCTTTGAGAGACTGATGCCTCAGTAGATACACCGATAATATTAAATTGCTGCTAACCATTCTTAGGAAAGCAGAAGAGATCCAAAGAGATTATTGTTGGCTGGAGTGTGTTCCTTCTTCTTCAGCTTTTAGGAATATAGACAGGTTACTCTCAGTGACTTGTAGACAGAACTGAGAGAACTTTGAGCTAAAACCCACATGTGAAAATCTCAGTACACTAAAATCTAGATTTCTAAATAATCTTTGATCTGAAGTATTAGTATTTATCAAAATATATATGATGTTAATCCTTGTTAATCATTAACAAGGAAAAATTATCTTTTTGAATGGTAGTGAGCATGCACATGAACTAACTTGGGAACCACACACTACTGTGATGCTGAAGTAGCTCAGTGTACAGGAATGGAAGTGGTACCAGTGGCACCTATTTTTTCCTCGTAGAAGCGTTTGCTAAGATGATGCTCTTGATGTGGACTGAGGAAGAGTGCTCTGACTGACAGTAAACTCCAGCTGCTGAGTGTCCTAGATAGGGTCACATGTTGAAGGCGAACAGACATAGTGACAGCACAGAAAGAAATGGGTCTGAGGAGGCTGGTGGGGACAGTCAGTGCATTTAAGGAGTGAAGGGAAGCCAGGAGAATACAGTACTGGATTACATGAAGGAAAAACCTCAGAGATGTGAAGCATTAGCTCTCTTATGCAGGAATAGTGCTGCCTAGCACACATTTTATACTTTATTCTCCCCTTTTCCAGTGGATATTCAGCCTTACTTTTAAATCAAGATTAAGCCTTAATTTAGATGTTTTAAGTTCTTAGTAAAATAATATGATTAATTTCAGGCCCTTTGTTTACAAGAACAATGAGATGTCTTCTTTTTGGTGTTTTTTTAATTTTGCACCTGTCCATAGCTGACAGTCCTTGTCATCCTAGGTCAATGGTGTACAGCTTTATGGGAAGTCTCGCCGAGAAGCAGTCTCCTTTCTTAAAGAAGTGCCTCCACCATTTACCTTGGTTTGCTGTCGCCGACTGTTTGATGATGAGGCCTCAGTTGATGAGCCGAGAACCAGGGAAAACTCACTTCTCCAGGCAGAGGTATGAAGGGCTGTGTGTAGTTCTTGTCATTTGCTCTTGTTATCTCACTGGCAATAGAGCTTAAGTGTGAATGTTCTTACTGTTCTTACTTTTCCTTCTCCCTAGAGCATACTTGATATTTACTGTCTTTGTATATAGTTTTGTATCAAGCCTAAGTCTTGTCTTTAGACTAAAGGGGGAATTGTAGTGAGATATCCACCCCGCCTGCACCTCTTTCTTGCATTGACCACACCTATTGGGGTGTGGATGTGACTGTGGGGTACTAGGTCTGGGAGCCTGGACCCCAGCTCGCTCTCTTCCTGGTTGGAGAAAGAAAGCTGGGGGGGGGGGGAGAGCATCCGTGGAGTGGGAAGCTGTGGTGGTCATCTGTTTCTGGTATAAGTGATTTCTCCCCGAATAAATATCCATCAGCCCATATTGTGTCCCAGAATCTTATTTCCCATGCAGTAGCTGTGTACTCATTATGTGTGTCCTTTTACTGGGAACACTTCAAAGAGACTGTTCAAATATAAAGAGGGGCCCCTACTCCACCCTGCTCTTTTTTTTTTTTTTTTTTTTTAAATTTGACTAAGCAACAGTGTAGAATGTTTCAAATTCTGCTTTGGATTTCATTTTTACGCTTACATATACATTTGCATTTCTAGAACTCCCTGAAAATGTTAAGACACTGATGTATATTAATCTGATTTTTAAAACTCTTAAAAAAAAACACACAACTATTTTTAAAATAAATTGCCTGGACTCATGGCTTTTCACTTCTATTTCAACTTATTTCATCCTAACAAAGTCTTGGTGTTGGTGGGTAATGACTATCTTAATCTTCCCTTTCTGATAACCTTAAACATATGAAGAATTCTGGCCGGGCATTGGTGTCTCATGTCTTTAATCCCAGCACTTGGGAGGCAGAGGCAGGTGGATCTCTGTGAGTTCAAGGCCAGCCTGGTCTTGGACCAGGACGGGCTCCAAAGCCACAGAGAAACCCTGTCTCAAAACAAAACAAAAACAAAAACAAAACAAAACAAAAAACAAACAACACACACACACATATATACATGTATGCGTATGTGTATGAATATATGTATGAAGAATTTTGATAAATTTCAGTGTGAGTTTATAAGCTACCATAAATGCAAAAGTGTCAGAATATGGACTGGCACTTCCTCTGCTGTGGTTGTTTCAGGAGTGCTGTAATCTGGGAAGGAACTGTGAAGGCATGTGCTGTCATCACATGACCTTTGGAGCTTCGTCTTTATGCCACATTCCCTCCTTTCCAGATATAAGCAGTTTACTGAAGGGCCTTTCCTTTTACTTACCCATGCTTTTACTTATAATTTAACTGAGTTCATCTTTGAAGTTGTGGGAACTTCCTACATACTTTGTGCATCTTTGACCAGATGCCCTTGACTTCTGTTTGCTGCGGTGGTTTGAAAGAGAATGGACCCAAATAGGCTCATTTGTTTGAATGCTTGGTCCACAGTTGGTAGAACTTTTTTTTGTTAGTAGAGGAATATCACTGGGTGAAGGGCTAGAGGATTAGAAAGCCCATGCTCATGTCAGTTAGCTCCCTCTCTCCCTGTGCTGTACTTGTGGATTAAGATGCAAGCTCTCAACTACTGCCCCAGTTCCTTGTCTACTGTTCCCCGCCATGATGGCCATGGATTCACCTTCTGAAATTGTAAGACCCAAATGAACTCTTCTTTTATAAATTGCCTTGGTCTTGATGTCTCATCAAAGTGGTAGAGAAGTAACAAACACAAATGGTACTGTTCACAGAACTTAAATACTCAGGAGCTTGTGTGAGAAGGAAATAAAGTAACATGTGCCAAGCTCTTAGCATTACGCTTGCATGTGGAGAGCTCCATGAATGTCAGTGGTGATATTCCTGATGCCTCCTGTCTAATGTCTTAATCACTGAGCCATTTTTAGACCTCTGTCTGGCTTTGAATTGAACTCATAATTCTGCCTTTGTCTCTTCAGTGTTGACATTATAGATTTGTGCCTCTGTGTCTGGCTGATTCCTGTTTTAACGTAAAAGAAGAAAAAAAAATTGACATGACATATGCCTTTAATCTCAGCACTTGGGAGTTCAAGGCCAGCCTAGTCTACATATGAAGTTCCAGGCCATCCAGGAACTCTACATATTAAGGTCCTATCTTGAAAGAAAATAACAATTTTCAAGGAAAGGAACCAAGATACTTCGTGACTTTACTGTATTTAGTAAACTGAAGTGTGTGTGGTGGCTTCCTTGTGAAGCTGGAGAAAAATGCCTTTAGTTTAATTCTGTCAGGTGTAAATCATCAGCCCAGCTTGCTGACTCTGTGCTCCCATCTGTCATACTGCACAGTGCTGAACAATAGCCTGAAGCATGCCAAATGTCAACAGTACTCCCTGTTAGCTGATTGCTTTCTGTTCTGTAGACTGGAGTTATGCAGAATTGATGTATCAGAGTGACAGAGCCCAGGTTGCTGTGGAATGTGTACCTAGGGTGCCATGACCTTTTGATAAACTTGGGCTTTGAGGTTATATGTGATCTCTTGAAATGTGGTCTCCTTTTCACTCATATTCTGTTTTTCATTTATCCTGAAGCTATCATGTTCTTTCTGTTAAAAAAAAAATTATTTTTATGTGTACTACATATGTGTGTCTTTGTGAGCACATGCCAAGTATGTGCCCTTGGGTCACAAAAGGGTATTATATCTACTGGTGCTAGAGTTACAGGCAGATGTGAGCTGCCCAGTGTAGGTGCTAGGAACAGAGCTTAGATCTTCTGGAAGAGCAGCAAGTATTTTGGTTTTTTTTTTTGTTTTTTTTTTTTTTAAACTGCCAACACATCTCTCCAGTGCCATCTTCTGTTGTTAAAGTGTCTGGTTAGGCGGCATAGCAACAGTTCTAATTCTCACTAATATCTCAGTAAGTATACACCAATATTATACCAATCATATGAACCCTTGGAACATTCTGTTGGAAGGTGGAAGTATTTTCTTTTTAAAATATACCTTCCCAGGTGGGTGAAATGTCTCATCAGGTTTCAATCCCAGAACCTGTGAAAGGTGGAAGGAGAGAAGTGAGTCTGCTGAATTGTCCTTTAACCTCCACACGGATGCCGTAGCACATGTCCCCACACATATCATAACCATGTTTTAAGTACTAAAACAAATAATTCCTCATGCCAAACTGAAATATGTGGAGATTAGCAATGGAGAATATTCCCTCATTTCAGGTTTGGCCTGTTAAGAACTAAGAAATTGTTCCTGTGTTTAGGTTCTGTCCATCTTAGATTAGGTGTTCCATATCCTGCAACAACAATTTAAGATCTGAACCAGTTCTAATTTTGAAGGTGGTTTTGTTACTCTTGCCCATTATAGAGTCCTCCCATTGATACCGTTAAGGGGATTTCCTTATACCAGTTACTTCTGTTCGTAGAAACAATACATTTTCATTTCACCAAAATTTTAAGAATTCTTCTTTGAAAAATTGTTATTTGGTTTGGTCATATGTGTGGTTCATGCCTGTAATCCCAGTACTCAGGAGACCTAGACAGGATTGCTGTGAATTTAAGGCCATCTTGGGCTACATAATGAATTCCAAGCTAGCCTACACTACAGAGTAAGACCCTGCTTCAAAAAACTAAGTTCTTAAAAGACTGTGGAAGGACAAAATATTTTTGGAGAGAGTATCAGCACAAATCAGTACAGTGTTATAAGTAAAACTGAAGGTGTTTGAAACAAATAATGTTCCATCTAGCAGATTTATCTCATTTAACTTCACTGGCTTCCTGAAAGGACAGGAGTCTAGAAGAGAAGGGTGTCAAGAGTGTGGAAGTTAACAAAGAGCCAGTGTGCTGGGTGCTTGTGATAACTCATTTCCTCTAACACCAGATTATTCCTATTTCTACTTGGAGAATTACACAGCACTCAAGGAGTTGCGGGTGGTGGCTACTGGTGCTGCCATACCTCTGCCGTAGCTATTGCCTCCTCTCTTCTTCATTCTTCCTGTACATTTCTAGGAAAACTTCCTTGAAATCTTCTGGGAGCCACCAGGAGTGGTTTCTCTGTGTCCTGGCTGACCTTTCTGTCTCTAACTAAAATTATGACTACAGTGTTGCTTTTAAAATATCTATGTGCCTCTACTTCATGTGAAGTTTACATTTTTACTTAAATTACCTATTTTTCCTTTTATGCTTCTAATGGGATGACAGAACTCATTGAAGTATAAGAGGTCAGTGTTAACACTTGCAATGAAACCACTTGAGAAATGTGTGAGAGACCTGCAGTTCTGAATGCCTGAATGTGTTCTGAAGCTTTGATCCTTGATTGTGAGTACCCAGTGCATGCCCCTTTTAAAAAGATCAAAAGCTAACCAAGCATGCCACAGAGACTTCCCAGTTTGAAAAGAAACTGAGTTCTCTTCAGAACTGAAAGGACAGCAGCTCCAGCATTTACCTTCTTTGTTCTTTCAGGTTGACCGCAGTGTAGATGTCAGCGCTGAAGATGATGATGATGGGGAGTTAGCCCTGTGGTCTCCCGAAGTCAGGATTGTAGAGCTCGTGAAAGACTGTAACGGCTTAGGATTCAGCATTTTGGATTATCAGGTATAGGAATCCTTGAGAGGGGTTTTGGCTTAGGTTTGCTTTCATAATGTTTTGTTGAAATATATTTCATGAACAATGAAATACACCTATTTAGAGCATTCACCTAGATTGTTTTTAGTGTTATGATTTGAACAATCATTAACACTTTCACAATAAGTTCCAATAAGAAACTCTGGGAAGCTGAGGTGGGAGGAACATAAATTCAAGAAGATAAGTTTGGACTTGAGTGCCAATCTGGGTCAGGCAATGAGACCCTGTCTCCAAAAACAGAAGCAAAAACAAACTCTATACCCATTAGCAACATTCCCAACCCTCACGTTTCTGTCCTTCCTGTCAGGTGAAGGCTTTTGTGGATTTGCTTATCTGTCAGTCTCAGTGAATATAAATAGAAATATTCTCAGTGAAATTATCTGCTGATGGATGCATAACACTTTTGTAGTTAAATAGTAGTATGAATCAAGTTTTAGCTAGATACAGGGTTGGGAACACTGGAGCACATAGTAGGAGCACTGGAATGCATAGTAGGACACTTGAATCTTCTAAAAAAAAAAAGAAGAAGAAGATTTATTTATTACATATACAATGTTCTCCTGCAAGGCTGCAGATCTCATTACAGATGGTTGTGAGCCACCATGTGGTTGCTGGGAATTGAACTCATGACCTCTGGAAGAGCAGCCAGTGCTCTTAACCATCCCTCCAGCCCCAGGACACCTGCATTTTATAGCAGTTTACCACCTGCTGACCTGATATTGGACCTCTGGTTACGGAGGAGAATTAAAGCTGTTAGACAACAAATCCCTTTGCTACTAAGATGCTCACTTTAAAACTAGTATGCCCTAAATACAATGTTAATGTCCTCTGTCAAAGCATATAAAATGGAAAATTATATAAAACCAGATTTAAAATTACATGTATTCATTCATTCATTCATTCATACAGTCGTGTGGGTATGAGTGCATGCTCATGCCATAGCACCCATGTGGAAGTCAAAAGCAGCTTGTGAGAGTCAGTTTTCCATGCACTACATTGGCCCTGAAGATAAAACTGAGGCAATCAGACTTGGCAGTTAGTGCTTTATCCACAGAGCCAAAGTACTACCTTGAACCTTTTTTTTTTTTTTTTAAAGCTTATATGTTTCTTGGTTATAACTGTTTTGCCTGCATGGTCTATGTATACCATGTGTGTTTTTGGTACCCACAAGGGTTTGGAAGAGGGCACTGGGCTCACAGATAGTTGTGAGGTGTCATGCGAGTACCGGGAAGTTAAGTTGGTCCCTTTGCAAAAGCGACAAGTGCTTTTGACTGTTAATGCATCTCTCCATCTCTGAAATCATTTTTTAATATAATTAGGTGATAGAGAATAGATTATAAGAAAAATACTTTCAACATTGTATACGATTTAAATTACTGATTTAAAATTCCTGTAATATACTACTACATTTTTGCTGGCAGATAGGCCTCTGCTCTTAGAATTGCCTCTTAGAATATTATTGAATTATAAGTTGTTGATTTCAATGAGCATTTTGGGAACTAGTGTCGTCAGGAAGTATCGAATTATAAGATTCTAGTAAGAACTCTTGGTTCCCTACCTATTGTAGAAGTGCCACCCAGCCCCTAGTATGCTGCTAATAAAGGATTCAATAAAATTTAGGTTAGACAGAGTTCACTGGAATTAAATGAACAAATGTCAGGGAGATTTATTAGCCGTGTTGATGATGAGCTTTAATTTACAAACACTGTTTTTTTGTTTTGTTTTTGTTTTTCAAGACAGGGTTTCTCTGTGGCTTTGGAAGCTGTCTTAGAACTCACCCTTGTAGATCAGGTTGGCCTTGAACTCACAGAGATCTGCCTGCCTCTGCCTCCAGAGTGTTGGGATTAAAGGTGTGTATAATTTACAAACACTTTTTAAATACAATCTTGGTGTTCAGCTACCTTTCCATCATCTTAGTGAGTGCTCTGTATTTTCATTGTTAATTAATTTATTGAGTTTTTGGACCACACCTCAGGCTTTGAATATGTATTGATTTGTAATTTTGCATTGCTAGGGTGTGTCTAACTCAGAGTTTCATCCATACTACTCAACAGTTACAGCCCCGAGCTTCATGCTTTTAGTGTTGCACATCTTTTTTTTTTTTTTTAATTTTATTTGATTTTATATAACAGTACAATTAAATGAAAACAAACATTTATACACAATATTTGGGAATTTGGGCGTCGTTTCTTTCCAAACTACTTCCTGCTGGTAAGGGGTGCTGTCTTGGGGGATTCGAAGAAGATTCAGATATCCTAGCTGTAGTCTGTAGGGCTGTTTTGTCCAGCTGTTTTGAATGTAGGATCACCTCATACTCTGTTTCAGGCGGTCTGGTGTGATCAAACCACATTAGTCTGGAAGGAATCCACATCTTTTCATTTTCTGTGGAAACAAAAATAGAAATCCTTTTCCCCAGTAACTTGTCCTTCAACTTAAATTTTGGAGTCAAAGCATTTTTTTTTTTTAGTTTAATATATTATTTTACATGTCGATCCCAGTTCCCCCTCCCTCCCTCCCTCCCTCCCTCCTTCCCTCCCTTTTTACCCTCTCTGCCCAGTGTTGCACATCTTAAAGCAGAAAATTGTCTCTGAGCTCAATAGAGTTAAGAAACAAAAAGCCTTGTCAGCCTCTTTCAGTTTAATTCCTATTGGCAAGAGCTTTGCACTTTTTAAAACAGTTGTCCTAATGTGGACCCTGTTTCCTCAGTGTGTTCTCAGAGGTGTGTGTCCTTGACTATGTTGTTTTCTTTTGTGAATAGTGTCATTCATAAAAGGGTAGGGTTTTTTGGTTTTGAATTGTTTTGAAACACCCTCCCCCTCTCAGCATTCTCCATGCAAATAGGCATTGATTTTGTTCAGGTTGTACGATGTAATTTTGCTGCAAAAAATTAATACTTGATAATTCTTTTGTCTTTGTGTTTCTTGGAGAACTGATAGAAAAATCTCTAATTTCCTAAAAGTTATTTTAATTCAGATAAAAGGGGTCAGCTCCTTTTCTACTCTAGCCCAACTTTGGAAAGGAAAACATCCACTTTCATGTTGGGTATTTTTCCTCAGTCAAATGTTACATGCTCTCACAGTTGTCAGGGATATGAGAAACTTTCCCACTAAAGTGTTCAGATATAAAAATGCAGTTTAAAATTGTATTTGTGTTAAGTTCATTAATTTATTTAGTTGTGTGACCTTGTAAACAGGCAACAATTTCTAAAGTTGAAAATTAATTTTTACAAAACTAAGTAGAGGTGTAGCAGATGCTATGAAAGGCCATTTTCCTGGCAATTCCCTGTTTGATGCCGTTTTGTATAAATTTATTAGGTGGCAGATTGCTGCCCTCCTAAGTTTAGCATATCTACACTAAGCACTGTAGTAATGTTTTATCTCCAGCCTTTCTAGTCTTTGGAGCATGGAGTAGTTTCTACATGGTAAGGGCCTGCATTTGAGATGGATAGTCTTCAAACCTTTCAAAGACCTGACAAGGGAAATAACATTACTAGAGTAGGCAGGAAGTGCAAGTGTATGACTTCCTAAAGGTGCAAGTGAAGAGAAGAAATAGCAGGCTACCTGAACTATCACCCAAGGACTCATAGTAATGTCGGGGCAACAAACTATGTCTAAGACCTAGAGTATCTGACAGACCATATCACTCAGAAGCAGGAAAATTGAAAGATTGTCTCTTTTGGTAGCCTATACTTCCTGCCTGGCTACTGGCCAATCAGTGTTTTATTCATAAACCAATAAGAGAAACAAAAATACAGAAGGACATCCTCTATCAGGCCTGCATTCTCAGTATTGAAGAGTGTGCTTTTATTTTTGAGTATTAATTTCAGTTAAACTTTTTTTTCTAATTAATGAATTTCCCTCTTCCCCAAGAACTGAAAATTGTATTCATCTGTCTCCTTGATGTAATTTCTCATAGGATGAGGATACTAATGCCATATGCAAAGGATCATATGAATTAAATGAATTTATGTGTAGGGGAAAGAAAAATCTTCTGTTACCATGGAAATGTGAGCATTGTTAACCATCATTCAGTTTAGAAAATCAGCAAAACAGTTGTTAATGCCTTCTTTCGATCTAGTGCCATGTTAGAATGTGTTTAAACTATATGTATTATACAATTGATTAGTAGATACCCTATTTTAGTAGAGTTTAAATTTAGCCATGAAATTGTATTCAGTCATGCTACCAACTCGAAGAGAGCCATATGTGAGTTACTTGTGGGTTAGTGGTCAGAAATAAGTTTTGCATACGTTTAGCTAAACTTTAGGAAAGTATAAGTGAACAGATAGTGATCTTGAATTGATCCATGGAATGATGGGGTGAGTGGCTGTCTCAGCAGGTCAGTGGTTCATAGGATTGATGGAAGTTGTATACCGAAGGTGCCTGCTCTGAAATCAAGGAGCTGAGTCCTATACAAAGTTCTGGAGGGCAGTCATATGGCCAAAGAACAAATGTGGGAATTCATGTCCATGGATTTTTATACTAGACTCAGACAAGGACAAACAATAAATATAGATTAGATTTTAGAATAAAGCTTTTATTGGTTGTGATTTAAGTAGAGATCAAGTCTGTTCCCCACAGATGTTGCCTGAAATTCTGTCTTGTGTGTTTAGCATGTGTACCTTCATGTCTTGTAAGATTGGGTGAAGGACACAGTGCATTTCAGCTTTATGATGAGCTCTTCTTCAAAGCCATAGAGCTTTGTGTGCATACACTCACACAGGTGAGTGTGTTCCCAGGTACATGAGTGCCACAGTAAATGTATGGCAGCCAGAGAACTTTCTAGAGTAGGTTATCTCCTTACTGTGGAGCCTAGGATGGAAATTAGGTTAGGTTTATACAGCAAGCACTTTTGCCTCCTGAGCCATCTTCTGGCTCTAGCTGTAAGTTTTCATTGCAGTTTTACTAGTCTATTGGTGAGGGTTCCATATTGTACTTTAGTTAGCATTGTTTTCCTCTGTTTTTAATGTG